GTGGTAGTCGCGTTAATTCTGTGGTAGTCACTGTGGTACTGTGGTAGTTGCTGTGGTACTGTGGTAGTCGCTGTGGTAGTCACTGTGGTAATGTGGTAGTCGCTGTGGTACTGGGGTAGTCACTGTGGTACTGTGGTATTCACTGTGGTACTGTGGTAGTTACTGTGGCACTGTGGTAGTCACTGTGGTACTGTCGTAGTCACTGAGGTACTGTGGTAGTCACTGTGCTACTGTGGTAGTTTCTGTGGTACTGTGGTAGTCACTGTGGTACTGTGGTAGTCACTGTGGTTCTGTGGTAGTCGCTGTGGTACTGTGGTAGTCACTGTGGTACTGTGGTAGTCACTGTGGTACTGTGGTAGTCGCTGTGGTCCTGTGGTAGTTGTTGTGGTACTGTGGTAGTCACTGTGGTACTGTGGTAGTCACTGTGGTAGTCGATGTGGACCTGTGGTAGTCGCTGTGGTCCTGTGGTAGTCATTGTGGTACTGTGGTAGTCGCTGTGTTACTGTGGTAGTAGATGTGGTACTGTGGTAGTCGCTGTGGTACTGTGGTAGTCGCTGTGTTACTGTGGTAGTCGCTGTGGTACTGTGGTTGTCGCTGTGGAACTTTGATAGTCGCTGTTGTACTGTGGTAGTCGCTCTGGTACTGTGGTAGTCACTGTGGTACTGTGGTAGTCGCTGTGGTACTGTGGTAGTCGCTCTGGTACTTTGGTAGTCACTGTGGTACTGTGGTAGTCGCTGTGGTACTGTGGTAGTCGGTGTAGTACTGTGGTACTCGCGTTGGTTCTGTGGTAGTCACTGTGGTACTGTGGTAGTCGCTGAGGCACTCTGGTAGTCACTGTGGTACTGTAGTAGTCAATGTGGTACTGTGGTAGTCACTGTGGTACTGGGGTAGGCACTGTGGTACTCTGGTATTCACTATGTTAGTTACTGTGGTACTGTGGTTGTCACTGTGGTACTGTCGTAGTCACTGTGGTAGTCACCACAGTGCCACACTGTGGTACTGTGGTAGTCACTGTGATTCTGTGGTAGTCACTGTGGTACTGTGGTAGTCGCTCTGGTACTGTGGTAGTCACTGTTGTACGATGGTAGTCGCTGTGGTCCTGTTGTAGTCACTGTGGTACTGTGGTAGTCACTGTGGTACTGTGGTAGTCACTGTGGTACTGTGGTAGTGACTGTGGTACTGTGGTAGTCACTTTGGTACTGTGGTAGTCACTGTGGTAGTCACTATGGTACTGTGGTAGTCACTGTGGTACTGGGGTAGTCACTGTGGTACTGTGGTAGTCACTGTGGTACTGTGGTACTGTGGTTCTGTTGTAGTCGGTGTAGTACCGTGGTAGTCGCGTTAATTCTGTGGTTGTCACTATGGTGACAACCAGAGCCGGTCGGCCGAGCGGACAGCACGCTGGACTTGTGATCCTGTGGTCCCGGGGTCGATCCCGGGCGCCAGCGAGAAACAATGGGCAGAGTTTCTTTCACCCTATGCCCCTGTTACCTAGCAGTAAAATAGGTACCTGGGTGTTAGTCAGCTGTCACGGGCTGCTTCCTGGGGGTGGAGGCCTGGTCGAGGACCGGGCCGCGGGGACACTAAAGCCCCTCAAGATCTTGAGGTTATCTCAAGATAACCTCAAGATGGTACTGTGGTAGTCGCTGTGGTACTGTGGTTGTCGCTTTGGTACTGTGGTAGTCTCTGTGATACTGTGGTAGTCACTATGGTACTGTGGTAGTCACTATGGTACTGTGGTAGTCACTATGGTACTGTGGTAGTCACTGTGGTACTGTGGTAGTCACTGTGGTACTCTTATAATCACTGTGGTACTGTGGTTATCACTGTGGTACTGTGGTAGTCACTGTGGTACTCTTATAATCACTGTGGTACTGTGGTAGTCACTGTGGTATATAATAATCCAAAGAAGTATTTTATAATAATAATAATAATAATAATAATAATAATAATAATAATAATAATAATAATAATAATAATAATAATAATAATAATAATAATAATTCACACAGGAATCACATTAACGTGATTCATCAAATGAACAAATCCCCAAGGGCCTTGATGAGGGCTCGAACCCATGCGCTGAGTGTTCCCAGACACGCTCTAGTCAGGTAGTCGTAATCCAGGTTGCAATTCCTATAGCACGTTGTGGTACAGTTGACTAGAGCACATCTGGAAACATCCAGGGCATAGGTTCGAACCCTCATCAAGGTCCTTGAGGATTTGGTAAAATAGTAGTAGTAGTAGTAGGCATCCATCAGTCTCAGCAGACCGTGGAGTTGTGCTCTGGTTGTCGGCCTGGAGTGGCCTCTCCACGGCGCAAAGCCAGGGTAGGTTGATACGGAGGAGAAGCTGTTACCCAGGCAGCAGTTCCCTCCTCTCCACGGCGCCTAAAGTCTCCAATGGAAAGGCAAACACCAATACGATTGGTTCCAGCGCCGTCGCAGGCACTGTGAGCTCCGGAGTTAACCTCGAAATTGGTGAAAAAGGGCCCAGGAACCCCCAAACCCGGAGATCGCCGTGGTCAGGGCCGGAGACGAACCACCCCAGCAAGGGCCCCAGCCTCCTGAAGCAGCGCCTGGGCCACACCAGCCCCAGGAGGTGGGCGGCCCGGTCCCGCCCCTACGGGTTCCTGACAGAGACAGCCCCCTTTCACCCGAGGCCGGCCTCCTTCAAGACCAAGCAGGAGGAAGAGTAATAATTATTAAATACAACAATTATTATAATAATTATTATAATATTATTATAATTATTATTATAATAATTATTATAATAATTATTATAATAATAATATAACTAGTTAATAATTATCACGCCTCCTTCTACTTGGTAATAATAATAATATTAATAATAAAAATAATAATAATAATAATAATAATAATAATAATAATAATAATAATAATAATAATAATAATAATTTATTTACAAGTAGGTACAATAGGTTTGTGCAATTATCTAATATTGTTATTTTAACATTCCTGGGCAGCCACTACGCACACAGCATTGCTGGCAAATTCAGTATTAATTTTAAAACAAAATTACTGATACAGTCTTCATGTTATTTACATTAACCGTTCCCTCAGGCAAGGAGTAAGAGTACAGACACAGGGCTTAAGCCGCCACTAGGATGTGTCACATTTTAATTCCAACCAAGTTGGAACACTTGGGAGGAATGCAATGATAAAATATGTCATGGAAATAATAGCACAGTTAAGACATGTTCAAAAATAGTTTCATGTCTTTCCTCGGAACGAAACTAACTCAAAGGACGAGCTACTGACTAGCTTGATTCTCTGTGTTGCATCTTATAGCAGTCTACGACACCTTACTAACTCTGCGACACCGTGTAGCATTGTGTTGCACCTTATAGCACTCTGCGACACCTTGTAACATTCTGGGGACACCTTGTAGCACTCTAGGGCACTTTGTAGCACTCTGGGGTACCTTGTGGCACTATGTGGCACCTTGTAGCACTCTAGGGCACCTTGTAGCACTCTGAGGCCCTTGTAGCACTCTACGGCACCTTGTAGCACTCTGGGGCACCTTGTGACACTATGTGGCACCTTGTAGCACTCAAGGGCACCTAGTAGCACTCTGGGGCACCTTGTAGCACTCTGGGGCACCTTGTAACACTCTGGGGCACCTTGTGGCACTCTGGGACACCTTGTAGCATTCTGGGGCACCTTGTAGCACTCTGGGGCACCTTGTAGCACTCTGGGGCACCATGTAGCACTCTGGGGCACCTTGTAGCACTCTGGGGCACCTTGTGGCACTATGTGGCACCTTGTAGCACTCTGGGGCACTTTGTAACACTCTGGGGCCTTTGTAGTACTCTAGGGCACCTTGTAGCGCTTTGGGGCCCTTGTAGCACTCTAGGGCACTTTGTAGCACTCTGGGGCACCTTGTGGCACTATGTGGCACCTTGTAGCACTCTAGGGCACCTTGTAGCACTCTGGGGCCCTTGTAGCACTCTAGGGCACCTTGTAGCACTCTGGGGCACCTTGTAGCACTCTGGGGCACCTTGTAGCACTCTGGCGCACCTTGTGGCACTATGTGGCACCTTGTAGCACTCTAGGGCACTTTGTAACACTCTGCGGCCTTTGTAGCACTCTAGGGCACCTTGTAGCGCTTTGGGGCCCTTGTAGCATTCTAGGGCACTTTGTAGCACTCTGGGGCACCTAGTAGCACTCTGGGGCACCTTGTAGCACTCTGGGGCACCTTGTAGCACTCTGGGGCACCTTGTAGTACTCTGGGGCACCTTGTAGCACTCTGGGGCACCTTGTAGCACTCTGGGGCACCTTGTAGCACTCTGGGGCACCTTGTAGCACTCTGGGGCACCTTGTAGCACTCTGGGGCACCTTGTAGCACTCTGGGGCACCTTGTAGCACTCTGGGGCACCTTGTAGCACTCTGGGGCACCTTGTAGCACTCTGGGGCACCTTGTAGCACTCTGGGGCACCTTGTGGCACTCTGGGACACCTTGTAGCACTCTGGGGCACCTTGTAGCACTCTGGGGCACCATGTAGCACTCTGGGGCACCTTGCAGCACTCTGGGACACATTGTGGCACTCTGGGGCACCTTGTACCACTCTGGGGCACATTGTAGCACTATGTGGTACCTTGTGCCACTCTGTGGCACATTGTAGCACTATGTGATACCTTGTGGCACTATGTGGCACATTGTAGCACTATGTGGCACTTTGTAGCACTATGTGGTACCTTGTGCCACTCTGTGGCACATTGTAGCACTATGTGATACCTTGTGGCACTATGTGGCACATTGTAGCACTATTTGGTACCTTGTGTTACCATGTAGCACCTTGTAGCACTATGTGGCACCTTGCAGAAGTCGGTGGCACCTTGTGACACTCTGTAAAACCTTCTGGCACCCTGGTTCCTTGTGTGGCACTCTGTGGCTTCTTGTAACACTCTGTGGCACCTCGTAACTCTCTGTGGCACCTTGTCCACCACCTCTTGCTTCACAATCTGGGATCTTCGTCCCTATATCCTCACCTCGACCAAAGAATCGCTGCAACTACTTCCTTTTCTCGGCAGCCGGATAATATGGCGGAGAGTGGCTCTGGCACTATGTGGGGGAGAGTGGGGCGGTGCCTCGGTGGCTCTGGCACTATGTGGGGGAGAGTGGGGCGGTGCCTCGGTGGCTCTGGCACTATGTGGGGGAGAGTGGGGCGGTGCCTCGGTGGCTCTGGCACTATGTGGGGGAGAGTGGGGCGGTGCCTCGGTGGCTCTGGCACTATGTGGGGGAGAGTGGGGCGGTGCCTCGGTGGCTCTGGCACTATGTGGAGGAGAGTGGGGCGGTGCCTCGGTGGCTCTAGCACTATGTGGGGGAGAGTGGGGCGGTGCCTCGGTGGCTCTGGCACTATGTGGGGGAGAGTGGGGCGGTGCCTCGGTGGCTCTGGCACTATGTGGAGGAGAGTGGGGCGGTGCCTCGGTGGCTCTGGCACTATGTGGGAGAGAGTGGGGCGGTGCCTCGGTGGCTCTGGCACTATGTGGGGGAGAGTGGGGCGGTGCCTCGGTGGCTCTGGCACTATGTGGGGGAGAGTGTGGCGGTGCCTCGGTGGCTCTGGCACTATGTGGGGGAGAGTGTGGCGGTGCCTCGGTGGCTCTGGCACTATGTGGTGGGTTACGCTCCAGGGATTGATTCCTTGTAACGGGGGAACCAGATCCGCTCTGCAATTCTGTGTAAGTGCAGACCGTGTTGCTCTTCTACCTACCTGACACCTAGGATGTCACTGGTAGCTAACACCTAAGATGTCTCTTGTAGCTAACACCTAAGATGTCACTGTTAGCTAACACCTAAGATGTCACTGTTAGCTAACACCTAAGTTGTCACTGGTAGCTAACACCTAAGATGTCACTGGTAGCTAACACCTATGATGTCACCGGTAGCTAACACCTAAGATGTTTGCAACAGTAGGCTGTGGAGAAATGTTTGCAACAGTTGGCTGTGGAGAAATGTTTGCAACAGTTGGCTGTGGAGAAATGTTTGCAACAGTTGGCTGTGGAGAAGTGTTTGCAACAGTTGGCTGTGGAGAAATGTTTGCAACAGTTGGCTGTGGAGAAATGTTTGCAACAGTTGGCTGTGGAGAAGTGTTTGCAACAGTTGGCTGTGGAGAAATATTTGCAACAGTGGGCTGTGGAGAAATGTTTGCAACAGTTGGCTGTGGAGAAATGTTTGCAACAGTTGGCTGTGGAGAAGTGTTTGCAACAGTTGGCTGTGGAGAAATGTTTGCAACAGTTGGCTGTGGAGAAATGTTTGCAACAGTGGGCTGTGGAGAAATGTTTGCAACAGTTGGCTGTGGAGAAATGTTTGCAACAGTAGGCTGTGGAGAAATGTTTGCAACAGTAGGCTGTGGAGAAATGTTTGCAACAGTAGGCTGTGGAGAAATGTTTGCAACAGTAGGCTGTGGAGAAATGTTTGCAACAGTGGGCTGTGGAGAAATGTTTGCAACAGTGGGCGGTGGAAAAATTCTACACAACTCTCTTCACTGAATGGTCCTTCAGAGCCTCATTTATGATGGTCAAGGTTATCACCAGCTATGGTTGAAGCCGGTGCCAAGCTACGTCCTGACTACGGTTCTTTACTAAATGACGTAAACACCATCTAAAGGCTCGCTAGGCTTCTTGCGTCTTCCCCCGACGTAGGCGAGCGCCTCTGGAGATTTCTGGAGAATATCCTAGTACGTTCTGCTGCATTGATGGACGGGGGAACACTGAGGTGTCCCACACCAGAGACGTCTTGCTGACATTCTCGGTGGTCACGTGACATCTGGGGCACCTGATGATTGGCCCCTGCATTCAACTTGACGCCAATCGCATCGTTTTTTCACATCCGGGCCCTATAGGCCTCTCGCGCGGGAAACTGCTCAAACGCCACGACCCCTATGTTGAAAATTTCACTTGGCAATTACCCTTTTCAATTCTTAAAACCGTGCAACCTGGGCATTCTTGTATGAATTAAAAGGATTTATGCATCTACACAATGATTCAATAGGCAGTGACGAACAGGAGTAAAATGACTCTTGAATCCGGGAAAGGAACTAAAGAAGGTGGGGACGCAAAAGCAGTGAATTTTAAAACTCGGTGTCGAGCTGGATCGTCAACATCTTCATCTAGAACATTCCACTTACGACTCTTCGAAAAGTTTTTTTCTGACATCTCTGTGATTCATCTATGTTCCTCGAGTCCAATTATGTTATCTCGTTCTACTGTTCCTTAATATGAACATTGTATCTATATCTACCTAGTCAATCCCCTTTGTATCTTTTTACATGGTTATCATGTCTGGTCTATTCCTTCTTTCATCCAGTGCAGTGAGGTCTAGTTGTCCATGTCTTTCTTCACAGCTCAATCTCCAGAGCTCAGGAATTATTCGTGCTAAATATTATTGGACTTCCTTTAATTTTATTTTGTGCATTTTAGGCAGGGGTTCCATGCCAGGACAGCGTACACAGTAACAGGTCTCACAAAGGATACATACATGGCTCGGCAGGGATCTTTGTCCAAGTTGATGAAGGATAAAGGGACGTTTGCCTGTATTGTGTATGCTGCCCTCGTTATCCTGCTGATGTGTGCCAGATCTCCGGTTATGTCCACTCCTAAGTCTTTATTTTTCAGAAGTTGGAAGTGGCCTTTCCTTCAGCCTGTACTGTATATGAGGTCTCCATAGTCGATCTCCTCGATCTCCTATCACTTGCATTTGTAAGGGTTAAAGTCTATTAGCCATTTCTCAGACCATCTTTGGAGATTGTCTAAGTCATCCTGTAATATTATGCGGTTCTCCTCACTTTAGATTCGCTTCATTAGCGTAGCATCGTCAACAAACAGCTAACCTCCTCCATAAGACAGTTTACTTATTTTAGAATGAGCACTGACACCGAGCCTTGAGGTACTCCACTCGTTACCTTTTACCATTCTGATAGTTCTCCCTCTCACTGTGACTCCTTGGCTACTTCCTGATTGGTACTCCTTCGCTCACCTTAGGTCTTTTTCCGATACATCAGCCTGGTTACCGAGTTTGTATTGGGGTCGCTTGTGAAGAACATTGACTAAAGCTTTTTGGCAAGCCATGAAAATGCTGTCTGTCCAGTATGACATACCGTCCAGTATGTATCCAATATGACCTACACTGTGACCATTAAGTCTTATACAATGACCAATATTACCTATACAATGACCCATTTGATCTATACTATGACCAATATAACCTACACAATGACCAAGATGACCTTTATAATGAATAATATGACCTGCATTATGACCAATATAACCTATTTGATCTACATTCTGATCATTATGAGTTTCACAAAAAGTAATATGACCTACACAATGACCAATATGACCTTTACAATGACTAATATGACCCCGCACTATGACCAATATGACCTACACAATGACCAATATAACGTACAAAACGACCAAAATGAACTTTACAATGACCATTATGACCCACACAATTAAAAATGACCTACATAATGACCAATATGACCTTTATAACAAATAATATGACATGCATTATGACCAATATGACCTATTTGATCTACATTCTGATCAATATGTCTTACACAAAAACTAATATGACCTACACAATGACCAATATGACCTTTATAATGACCAATATGACCTTTACAATGACTAATATGACCTACACAAAAACCAATACAACGTACAAAACGACTAAAATTAACTTTACAATGACCATTATGACCCACACAATTAAAAATGACCTACATAATGACCAATATGGTCTACACAATGACCAATATGACCGACACAATGACCAATGTGACCTACACAATGACCAATACGACCTACACAATGACCAATATGACCTACACAATGATCAAACTGACCTACAAAGTGACCGATGACATGTACAATGACATGATCTACACAATGACCAATATGACCTATACAATGATCAAACTGACCTACAAAGTGACCGATGACATGTACAATGACATGATCTACACAATGATCAATATGACCTATATTTTGACTTACACAATGGCGAATATGTCATATTATAACCAATATGACCTCAATATGACCAAATATGACCTACATTTTTTCCAAGCGTGCTTTTCAAAAGACAAAGGAAACATAAATGGCAGGTGACTGTGCAGATAACACACAAAGGAACGTCCAAAACACTAGTTGAACATATCCTTCCAAATGACGTTTTTAATGACTAAAATTGCTGAAAGTGTACATTCCATTGCATGAGTGTTGTCATTATTGACTCATTATATTCCCTGCGTGGGGTACCGTCACGCACATCACAGTTGCAGCACTCATTTGCAACGAAATTTAAGTATAAAGGTGCGTTTCAATTTCCCCTCCTGAGTTGCAAGTAACTTTAAGTAACTCCGGTAACATTAACTTATGTCTCTAGCTTTACACAGGAACCAAAACCTCGCCTCTGCTCTTCTCTTACTAATACTGCAAGAGCTAATTATAGGTCAAATTATCGTGACATTAAAATGTTAAAACGTTGTTGATTTATATATTTTGAAGCATTTACAATGTCAGTGTATATGTATATTACCCACGAAAATATATTTCCCAAGGAGGAAGGGTTCGGTACACTCAATAATTACGGCACAGGTATAATCATGCAATTATTGCATTGAGTTATTATACTCCCTTTGATCTTGATATTCATCAAAGAAAACTCCCTCTACACTTTATTATTTACTTTCAAGTCTCTGAAGGCATAGTTGGGTCGTAATGGCAGTAATACGAGTCCTTGACGAGACGTTGTCTAGCACAGTGGTGCCATCTCTAGGCTTCCTCAGGATCACCTGGCAGCAGGGTCTGGGGGCTTATATGTTGTTCTCATGTACTCAGCCCTGGCTATTGCGCATTGTCGTGATTTGGTGTGCTTTGTTGTGGTCTGGTGCAGTCTGTATTGGCCTGGTGCAGCCTGTACTGGTCTGGTGCACTCTATTGCAGTCTGTAGTGATCTGGTGCACTCTGTAGTGGTCTGGTGCACTCTATAGTGATCTGGTGCAGTCTGTAGTGGTATGGTACACTCTGTTGTGGTCACGTGCTCTCTGTTGTGGTCTGGTGCGGTTTGTTGTGATCTCGTGTGGTGTGTTAAAGTCTGGTGTTTTTTTTTTTTTGGTCTGATGCACTCTATTGTGGTCTGGTGTACTTTGTAGTGGTATGGTGCAGTCTTTAGTGGTTTGGCGCACTCTATAGTGGTTTGGTGCTCTCTGTTGTGGTCTGGTGCAGTCTGTAGTGGTCTGGTGCACTCTATTGTGGTCTGTTGCAATCTGTAGTGGTCTGGTGCACTCTGTAGTAGTCTGCTGCCCTCTATAGTGGTATGGTGCTCACTGTAGGGGTCTGGTGCTCACTGTAGGGGTCTGGTGCTCTCTGTAGTGTTCTGGTGCACTCTGTAGTGGTCTGGTGCTCTCTGTAGTGGTCTGGTGCTCTCTGTAGTGGTCTGGTGCACTCTGTAGTGGTCTGGTGCAATCTGTAGTAGTCTGGTGCACTCTGTAGTGGTCTGGTGCACTCTGTAGTGGTCTGGTGCTCTCTGTAGTGGTCTGGTGCACTCTGTAGTGGTTTGATGCACTCTGTAGTGGTCTGGTGCACTCTGTAGTGGTCTGGTGCACTCTGTAGTAGTCTGGTGCACTCTGTAGTGGTCTGGTGCTCTCTGTAGTGATCTGGTGCTCTCTGTAGTGGTCTGGTGCACTCTGTAATGGTCTGGTGCATTCTGTAGTAGTCTGGTGCACTCTGTAGTGGTCTGGAAGCACTCGGTAGTGGTCTGGTGCTCTCTGTAGTGGTCTGGTGCACTCTGTAGTGGTCTGGTGCACTCGGTAGTAGTCTGGTGCACTCTGTAGTGGTCTCGTGCACTCTGTAGTGGTCTGGTGCACTCTGTAGTGGTCTGGTGCACTCTGTAGTGGTCTGGTGCACTCTGTAGTGGTCTGGTGCACTCAGTAGTGGTCTGGTGCACTCTGTAGTGGTCTGGTGCACTCTGTAGTGGTCTGGTGCACTCTGTAGTGGTCTGGTGCTCTCTGTAGTGGTCTGGTGCACTCTGTAGTGGTTTGATGCACTCTGTAGTGGTCTGGTGCACTCTGTAGTGGTCTGGTGCACTCTGTAGTATTCTGGTGCACTCTGTAGTGGTCTGGTGCTCTCTGTAGTGATCTGGTGCCCTCTGTAGTGGTCTGGTGCACTCTGTAATGGTCTGGTGCACTCTGTAGTAGTCTGGTGCACTCTGTAGTGGTCTGGTGCTCTCTGTAGTGGTCTGGTGCTCTCTGTAGTGGTCTGATGCACTCTGTAGTGGTCCGGTGCACTCTGTTGTGGTCTGGTGCACAATGTAGTAGTTTGATGCACTCTGTAGCGGTCTGTTGCTCTCTGTAGTGGTCTGGTGCTCTCTGTAGTGGTCTGGTGCATTCTGTAGTGGTCTGTTGCACTCTGTAGTGGTCTGGTGCACTCTGTAGTAGTCTGGTGTACTCTACAGGGGCCTGATTCACTCTGTAGTTGTCTGGTGCACTCTGTTGTTGTCTGGTGCACTCTGTAGTTGTCTGGTACACTCTGCAGTGGTCTGGTACACACTGCTGTAGTCTGGTGCACTCTGATATATTTTTGTGCACTTTGTTGGGGTCTGGTGCACTCTTTAGGGGTCTGGTGCGCTCTATACTGGTCTGGTGCACTCTGTTGCGGTCTGGTGCACTCTGTTGTGGTCCGGTACTCTCTGTATTGATCTGGTACACCCTATTGTTGTCTGGTGCACTCTGTCATATTTTGGTGCACTTTGTTGTGGTCTGGTGCACTCTGTAGTGGTCTGGTGCACTCTGTAGGGGTCTGGTGCAGTCTGTTGGGGTTTGGTGCACTCTGTAGTGGTCTGGTGCACTCTGTTGTGGTCCGGTACTCTCTGTAGTGGTCCGGTACTCTCTGTATTGATCTGGTACACCCTATTGTTGTCTGGTGCACTCTGTTATATTTTTTGGCACTTTGTTGGGGTCTGGTGCACTCTTTAGGGGTCTGGTGCACTCTTTAGGGGTCTGGTGCACTCTATAGTGGTCTGGTGCACTCAGTTGTTGTCTTGTGCACTCTGTAGTGGTCTGATGTACTCTGCAGTGATCTGGTGCACTCTGTAGAGGTCAGGTGCAGTCTGTAGTGGTGTGGTGTACTCTGTAGGGTTCAGGTGCAGTCTGTAGTGGTTTGGTGCTCTCTGTAGTGGTCTGGTGCACTCTGTATTGGTCTGGTGCACTCTATAGTGGTCTGGTGCTCTCTGTAGGGGTCTAGTGCACTCTGTAGGGGTCTGGTGCAGTCTGTAGTGGTTTGGTGCACTCTGTAGTGGTCTGGTGCACTCTGTTGTGGTCAGGTACTCTCTGTAGTGGTCTGGTACATCCTGTTGTTGTCTGGTGCACTCTGTAGTGGTATGGTTCCCTCTGTAGTGGTCTGGTACACACTGTTGTGGTCTTGTGCATTGTACATTGTTCTGTTACACTCTGTTGTAGTCTGGTGCACTCTGGTATGGTCTGGTGCACTCTTTTTGGGCGTGGTGCAGTCTGTAGTGGTCTGGTGCACTCAATTGTGGTCTGGTGCACTCAATTGTGGTCTGGTGCACTCTATTGTGGTCTGGTGCAGTATATAGTGGTCTGGTGCAGTCTGTAGTGGTCTAATGCACTCTGTAGTGGTCTAGTGCACTCTGTAGTGGTCTGGTGCACTTTGTAGTGCTCTAGTGCACTCTGTAGTGGTTTAGTGCACTCTGTAGTGGTCTGGTGCATCCTGTAGTGGTCTACTACAGGATGCACCAGACTACTGGTAAGAAACATGAAAAACATAAATGCACAAGCAACAATATAATTTAAAAATTGTTTACTGTAAGAACTAGGTGAGGAAAATTGAATAGATCATTAATTAGGACTGCAATAAGAGCCAATGAAATTTGCTATGAATGGGGTAAGAGGGTCTCCTTCAACTTGCATACAGCAGTGCTTCAAAGGATAATTTAAGTCAAGTAGTTTCGTATTTGGTTTGTATTGTCTTTAATTAAATCATATTTAATTGCATTTGCTTTGGTACATTTATGTATCGGATACTAACCACTATGTAGTGGTTTGATGCACTCTGTAGTGGTCTGGTGCTCTCTGTAGTGGTCTGGTGCACTCTGTAGTGGTCTGGTGCTCTCTCTAGTGGATTGGTGCTCTCTGTAAAGATCTGGTGCACTCTGTAGTGGTCTGGTTCTCTTTGTAGTTGTCTGGTGCACTCTGTAGTGGTCTGGTGCTCTTTGTAGTTGTATGGTGCACTCTGTCGTGGTCTGGTGCACTCTGTAGTGGTCTGGTGCTCTCTCTAATGATCTGGTGCACTCTGTAGTGGTCTGGTGCTCTCTATAATGATCTGGTGCACTCTGTAGTGATCTGGTGCACTCTGTAGTGATCTGGTGCACTCTGTAGTGGTCTGGTGCGCTCTGTAGTGGTCTGGTGCACTCTGTAGTGGTCTGATGCACTCTGTAGTGGTCTGGTGCACACTGTAGTGGTCTGGTGCACTCTGTAGTGGTTTGATGTACTCTGTAGCGGTCTGGTGGTCTCTGTAGTGGTCTGGTGCATGCAGTAGTGGTCTGGTGCACTCTGTAGTAGTTTGATGCACTCTGTAGCCGTCTGGTGCTCTCTGTAGTGGTCTGGTGTTCTCTGTAGTGGTCTGGTGCGCTCTGTAATGGTCTGGTGCACTCTGTAGTGGTCTGGTGCACTC